TCTTGTGCGCGTCTTGTGTTACACTGTGTCAAAATTAATTTTGAAATTGTTTATAGTGAACGGAAAAATCAATTAATCTTATATAAAAAATTTAAATTTTATAACAAAGCGTAGGTAGGTATGTTAAATACTTAGACGCTAATAAATGGCAATGTGTCAATAAAAAGTGCACCTTAAAAACGTATGTTGATCTTGACATGAAGATGACTAAGTGTACCCTAACCTATACTGTTAATTAAAAACAATTCTGTATAATATGATACTTTGGTTATTGTTTAATAAACAGTCGGATGAATCAACATAAATAAATAACTGGCGGAATCGATAGTCGGCGGAATCAATATAAACAAAAATCCGGCGGAATCGATAGCCGGTGGAATTGATATTAAAACGGCGGAGTCGATAAAACCCCATAACTCAGGTATCAGGGTAAAATTAAAATACATAGATAGCTTCAGGTATATAGCCTGCATCCCCTCGTAAGGAAGGCTTATAATTTTTTTATGAGCAAAGAAATAATAACGATGGGACAAAGAGTACAAATAAGCACTAACTTAGTCTAAACCAATCTTTAACCAAGTGTTTTACTACATTTTAAGGTCTATTTTGATTTTTGAGTTGTTTAATCAAGCGTATTACGTATTTCCTTGGTTAACTTTTTTAAAAATGTTTTCGTTTTGGTTTTTGATTTAACAGTTAGGGATACGAATTTTTTCAGTAAAAGTGAAAATGATCCATATACGCCATTTAGTTATTTCTAATAGTTTTGCAAGATAAAAACGTATATTTGAGAATTTTGATTTTCACAATAATTACGATCACGTAAATTTTATAATCAAACTCATGCAAGTAAGTTATTTGAACCTAAAAACTACGAGACACCTATGGACACCTTTTGATTACTTTTACCAACCAACCTCAAGCAATTTCCGATAAAACTCTGTGGGCTGTAGTCCACCTGTCCTCGTTTTAGGATTCCAGATCATCCCCTTGTAAAAAAGCCTTATACCTAACTTTTTTTACTAGTAAATAATAATAACGATGGGACAAAGAGTACAAATAAGCACTTACTTAGTCAAAACCAATGGGACTGATTTGGACCAAACAATTCAATATGGGGGGTGCCGGCACGTCTTTACAACCCCCTAATTAAATTTATAAGGATAACTCCGGAAGTAGTAGAGTACTGACGTCGAAAAAGTGGTACAGGATATCAGTAGCAAACTACTAAAGATTGGCTCATTTGGAGATCCAATATTTTGAATCGGGGCTGCATTATGGCTCCATACCACCCCCTCCCACTAATGATCCCCTGTAGTTAATTAGGGGTTGCAGCACAAACGATGAAACTCGAGCACAATCCAGCACAAACGTAGCACAAACGAATGGCATAATTTAAATTTGAAAATTTGGAGGTGGGGGTGCAGCCATTTCGCTGGCACCCCCACTAAAGATCCGTTCTAGCTCATTAGGGTTTGCAGCCCAAACGATGAAACTCGAGCACAAACCAGCACAAACGTAACACAAACGAATGGTGTAATTTAAATTTTAAAATTGTGAGGTGAGGGTGCAGTCGTTTCGCTGGCACCCCCAATCATTATCCCTTATAACTCTTTAAGGGTTGCAGCACAAACGATGAAATTCGAGCACAATCCAGCACAAACGTAGCACAAACGATAGCCCTTGGTTTGAATCCGAAATTCTGAGGTGGGGGTGCAGTCGTTTCGCTGGCACCCCCAATCGTTATCGCTTATAACTCCTTAAGGGTTGCAGCACAAACGATGAAATTCGAGCACAATCCAGCACAAACGTAGCACAAACGAAAGCCCTTGGTTTGAATCCAAAATTCGGAAGTGGGGGTGCCAGGGAAATGCACCTGACATTAGTTTATAGCATATAGTTATTTTTACTATAGTTTATGTTTCTGTTTACATTTGGATGATTAAATTTGTTGCTCTACTCCGTCATACGATATATATATATATCTATATATATATATATATATATATAGATATTATCGTAACATACTTATGAATTATGAATCATAGATTTTTTTTTTTTTTTTTTTTTTATTTATTTGAAGAAATCTACAATCTATACATGCTTTTTGTACAATAAGTAGGTTTGATATAAGAAAGGTAAAAAATATGATATGAGTAGTTAGATTAGGGAAGATACCCAGTGGTAACACCCTATGACATGAATAACAATGAAGAGAGAAGAGAGAGAAAAAAAAAATATATATAGTTATATAATATAAGACAATAAATAAGTAATTAATTTGAGGTTTGGAGGTGTTACCTGGTAGCGACCTCCAGCACTTATTAAGCTCACTTTTCAAAGAAGATCTCTACACCATTGCCTTTTTAGTCTACGACGCGGGTTACCAGGGAGTGAGTTGGTTGATAGTTTAGAGATTAGTGGATTTGTGTGATGTTGAAATTTGTTGTGGAGTCTGGTGTAATATAGTTTGGAGATTTGGTTAAGATTTTGGATTTTGAGATCTTTGTGGAGATTATTGTTGGTTAAGTACCAGGGTGCTGATGCAACTAGGCGAAGGCATATTGACTGAAAGGCTTGGATTGTACGGGTGTTTGAGGGTTTAGCGGCACCCCATAATTGGATGCCATAAGTCCATAGTGGCCTGAGTAGTGACTTATAAATTAGAAGTTTGATGTTGATATTCATTTTGGATTTCAGTAAGGGTCTAAGGAGGTGGAGTCGGGTATTAAGGGCTTTTCGTTTGGCTTTTAGGTGGGGATTCCAGGTAAGTTTACTGTCGAGGATGAGGCCAAGATATTTGACTTCAGAGTAGGAAGGTATTGGGATGCTGTTTAATGTGACTACGGGGCAAGATCCTTTTTTTAGGGTGAATGTTATGAAGGAGGACTTGGTTTCATTGATTTTGATCTTCCATCTTTTTGTCCAGAGGTCAATTATGTTAAGGTGTCTTTGTAACATATTAGAAACTGTGTTTGGGTTTTCATTGGAGGCCACAATTGCCGTATCGTCCGCGTAGGAACCGAGTTCAGTAAAGGAAGTTTTAGGGATGTCGTGCGTAAAGATATTGTACAGAAAAGGAGCAATATCGCTGCCTTGGGGAACTCCGGCTAAGATATTGAAATAGTTTGAGTGGCTCGAGTTCTGGCGTACGACGAATGTGCGATCGCTCAAATATGATTTAACCAATAGGAAGTAAGGCGCAGGCAGAAATTTTTTAAGTTTGAATAGTAGGCCATCAAACCATACCCTATCAAACGCTTGTGCGACGTCTAGAAAGACGGCAGCGCAGTAATGTTTAACGAAAGCCCTTGGTTTGAATCCAAAATTCGGAAGTGGGGGTGCCAGGGAAATGCACCTACTAATGTCCAGATTTCGTAACCAATCAACTACATCCTCGTTAGCTGTATGGATATCATTTAAAGTGCCTTTGAATGAACGGATCGGGCATTCAGTTGCTATATAGGAGATTGTTTGCTTATCATTACCACAGTCATATGAAGAATTAGTATGTAATTTCCATTTGAACATCATGTTACGATGATAAGTAATCACGACAACAAAAACCTTACGAAAAATAACATATTTTTATCGTGTATTCAGACCAAATACATATTTATGTTAGGTATTAATAACAATTTTAGTTATCTTATTGTAATTTAAAAATACTATTCGTGAGTAGGCACTTGACACTTTTAAAGTATATTATCATTTATTACACACAATGACTTTTTCAAATGCAATTTTTTATGTAAGACATCTAATGTGGATGGTGAGACCGGGTGATAACTCTGTGACACTCTTGCCACTCTAGAGTTGTAAACAATTATAAAATGTTCGATTTTTTAGCTAAGAAATAAAAATTTAAAACAACGATTATCACAAATAGTTCATACTGCAACCAACAAATCTAAAAAACATATTTACACAATTAGTTTTGATATAGGTTTATTTTAAATTCAAATTTGGACGAAATTACATAATATTAAAACCAATAATAACGGTTTTAGTTGATATCATTCGTGGCCAGTGGATATATGAAAACTTTAGAGTATAATATTATATTTTATAAGCACAATGACATTTTCAAATGTAATTTGTTTGACAAAAATGAATTTAATCTCATTTGTACTAATAGTTAATAATTGTACAGTAAATTACTTTAATCATAAAAATGTCATCAAATATACATATTATAGGCTGACAAACGGTCTTCGCTCAGAATCGTTTTTTGTACACAATGATTTTATATCATTGAATTCAAATTTAACACATCCGTTACAGTGAGTCTATAGACACTTGATGTACAACATAGCATTTTTTATTTTTTTATTTTAACTTCTCAAAAAATTGAAAACGACAATTTTTAATTATTCTTTTTTAATACTTTTAACGATTTTAGGAATTTGGGGGATAATATTGAAAATGTGGGAAAGTGGATTTCAAGTAGACTTGAAGACAAATTGAAATCTGTTTTCAGAATTCGTATTAGATTATTTTGTGTGTTTAGCAAGACACACATCTAAAATACTATGTCACGTGAGTGTTAGACAAAGACAGAAAATCACCGGTTGGAGATGCTCCTTTTCCTATAAAATCTAAGTATCATAAACGACACTTTAAAAACTATTTTCCATCCCTATCCTAAGAATAAATAATATTAAATAAATCCTTCCTCCACAAAATTCCACAAAATTCAAAAACAAGTAAGTATAGAAATAGCCAACAACACGCATCGGCAGCACGTAAGTTCGAAAAAATCTATTTTTGAAGTATTAGATTGAGTTTTAATTATTTAAATATTCAAAATTCAAATATTCATATTCAACATTTCCATTACAGTGACTCACCGCCCACACGACATAATAGACGTATAATATGCGATAGTCGTCGATATAAAGTCGTCGTCCTACATCAAAATTAATTTGATGATTTAAAAATATATTACATTTATAATAAACCACCGACGAAATTTATGTAACTAGAGTTATTGATAGTACCTTTTATCTTTGATTATTCGGTTTATGGCTTCAGATAGTGCTGTATGAGTCAAGTTATTGATTTTCATAGACAACGCCATGCCGAGGTCCACCAGATTTTGAATGTTTCTCGGTTGGTCGTAAAACAACGGCATGCCAAGAACTGGAACTCCCGCTTCTACAACTTCGTACACTCCACTCATCCCACCATGACTTATGAACAATTTGACATTTGGATGATCTAAAAATTCAACATATCAAAATGGATTTAAAAATGCATTAATATACTAAAATCAAATTCTTGAATGAAATCCACTTTTCTTTTTATACTTAGAGTAACCCTGTTTTATATATACTAGGGTGGTCCCTAATTATTTTTCATTTGGGATTTTTTTCAGATCCCCCTAAAAAGGTTCAACTACAAAAATATGAATATTATACAAATGCAAGTATTGTCAAAATTATATAAATAATAACGTACTGACGTACCAAGTATATAGGTAGGTACATATTAAATTATAACAATATTATATAATTGTATCATTTTAATGATTTAAATAACTGATAGGGCATAGATTGATTTTTAAATGACCTGTGTGGGTCCAAGTCTATTATAGGACCAGTTATCAATAATATTAACTGTTTTAATTAATGTAACAAATATGAACAAATATAAATGTATTTATTTTACTTACGTAGTATAGCACGCTGAGGTAACCATTTACACAACACCACATTTTCTGGCTTGTCAGGCATGGTATCGTTCTCGTACTTCCAAATAACGGTTTGGGGGAGTTGGCTAAACACGATTTTAAACTTATCTAATACATCATCGGGTAGTGTGTTCATGGCCACCAAAGAACCAAAAGTAAAGACGATAACTCCGAATTCATTACTGCTGTCCATCACATCTGCTAAATCCTCCAGGAAAACAATAATGTCCGAATAATTAACAAAAACATTTATTATATTAATATAATTTTCATAATATCAGAATTAGTTCTACGATAGCGAATACATCTACGATGGACCTAATTTAGAAAAAAAAAATAAAGTCTGAGAATGTTCATGTTATTAATTTAGTTGCACGGCATAGGTATAATATGTAGATGCTTTATTTTCAACTAAAAAATTAATTCAATGAGTTATTGAAAAGCTACCACAATGCAAATAATATTGTCATATTGAAGTATACTTATAATGAAGTATACTAATAATAATAGTGTAGATATATAGTTAATATTTTGTATCCAGCCGACCATTGTGACTTAATATTATATAATTTAATTATTACAATTATGGTATGGAGAAAAATTATATAATGCAACTTAAATATGTGCCATGTGATGTGGTGGTCTAAAAATATGATATACACATAATATGTGGTTGTCATAATTATTAATCGTTATTATACTATATAAAAGATTAAGAAGAACTAAACTAAACTATAAAAGCGTTCTGAATGATTTGAACAAAACTTATATTGTATGTCATAATATAGAATATTATATATTTTACTAGGCCAGAAATAGGTAGTCCAAATTTTAATTCATATAATATGTTTGGTGTAATATGGATAAGTGGTTACATTTTTTTGTAACTTGTATAATATGACGTTATCGCTGCAATGGAGAGGAACTTGCGAGGGCAATACAATATTCCATTAATAGTGATAGTTGGGAGGGGGGATATTAATATTAATATCAAACAAATAGTATAATATACAACAGCAGTATACTTTTCACTTTGCGTTTGACATGACTATACGTCGTAATAAACGTAATACATGTTACCGCGTACCCGGTAATACGGAACGCGAACGACACAAAAACCATCAACAAAATCGAGATTATGGGTGGGCGATAAGATACTTACTCGGGGAATCGGCTCTAGAGGCCGGTTCAAGTGAATGCCTCCGATTTCCAGGACGTTGGGCCCCATCGGTCGACCCGGTTCCACCGAGTGATGCGTGTTGACGAACACCATAGTGTGCCGGTGCTCCGGCCACCGGTGGTCGCGTCCCGCGTCGCTGTACCACCGGACCAGTGTAGTGTGCACGTACACCAATGCGTTGGCCAGCCGATGGCCGAACGTCACTGGCGTCGGCCGGTCGGCGAGCATAGCGCCCAGATAGGATGGGTGGTCGGGGGCGCCCGTGGCCACCGGCATCCAGTTGACCGGCGGTGACGGGATCACGTAGATGGCCGGCACGCCCAGCCTGTCGGGTAGTGCGGACATGCACTCAGAGTGCAGAGACTCCATGATGACGGCGTCGAACGCGGGACCTCTTCCGTCCAACATGTCACGTATTTCCGGCATGTCCAGCAAGTATTCGCACACGTACATCGCCCGGGCGGTGGCCAGCCCCACCATGAACGCGTTCGACCTGAAGACCTTCATCACATGTGCGTAGTCCATGTCCCGAGCTGTTTGGAGTGAACCGATGGCCATCGACGACATGTCCACGTGCGTGTAGTTGGGATGCGCGGCCAACCGGTCGGTGGCCGGGTGCATGGTCACGCACACCACCTCATGTCCAGCGGCCACCAAGCTCTCCAGCACCGCTGACATGACGTTCCAATGACTGTGTCCGGGACTGGGCTCACACGCCAAGATCCGGTGAGCCGCGATCGTCGACAAGCAGCCGATCGACCATACGACGATGGCCAAACGGAATGCTCCGGAACACATGCTCTGTAAAACCATTTGGACACGGCGTTAGGTTAGTGTCAGCTGCTGCAGTACATGTCATTTTTAACGGTTTATCATCAAATAATTTTTTTTATTTTTCAATAAATATTAAATTTTGAAACATTTTACTATTACCTACTTACAATATAATTTTCTTTACATTATGACATTTAAAAAATATTTATATTGATTTTAAGCTTTTTACCATAAACCTATTCACATTGTACGTCTGTATTGACCTAATCTACTAACTATACAGCAGAGTGATTTCCCTGGTTTTTTTAAAAAAAAGATTTACAGTTAATTATTTTTGTGTAACGCACAATTTTAACCAATGAAGGTTATTCACAATCATTGTTCTAAAATTGTATACATATCGTTTGTATTCATCAAATAATCAAATGTTATGTAATTGTATTGATAAATATTGTATTTTAATATGTAAATTAATTATCTTACCTTAAAAATGGATTGTGCTGGATATACAATTCAAAAGACAATGGGTGATGATTTTTATAGAATATATTTTTTCTTTCTTCAATTTAATATTTTGTTTGGTAATGTACTTCAGCATACACTGAATAGATATACCTAAATACCTAATGTAATATTCTTTATCAATTGTATTTACCAATTTTTATGTTTATGAGCAGGTATGTTAAGTCTATCTATAAATTATCATTTATAGATAAGATAAACTTATTTATTACATTTATATGATATACAATTTAAAAGTTTGGCAATTGAATATGATTTTATAATATTATGATTAATTATACCTATAATATATTAATAGGTATGTATACAAAATAACATATTTATCACTTTTGATTTGGGATAACGTATCACAAACGGTCCATGGCCGTACAGTGTTTTATATTTTTTTGTTTAAAATGCAAAATATTCAACTGTTTAAAAACATGCAGGCTTGATAAAATTATATTAAATTAAATAAACTTTAATAACGGATTGATTATACTCACGCGTCAAGAACCTATCTACAGACATCAGTCATAATAGCCGTGTATGTAGTTATACTGGTATATTTAATTATGTGAAGTAATTATTATTTTATTTTAAATTCAAATTAAGATTAAGTAAGTTATATTGTGAATAATGCTCTTGAATTTAATAAACAATATACAATATGATTGGCATAAACTTCATTCAAAACTTTTTTATTATTTTACTATTTTTATAACCAGTAGGTACCTACATAAATTGGAAAAATAAAAGAAGAGGGCTCTTCGACCCGAAAAAAATTATCATCCCTTGAAATTATTGAACTGAAGATACCACATCGCCAACCGCCAGAAATCAAACCAATTCCAATATTACAATATATCAACTTTATTATATAATTTTGTTCAACTATAATTTAAATTTTTATCCTTATAGGCGTAGCTAGGATTTCTATCAGGAGGGGGGGGGGTAAATTAAAACTCAATTTTTTTTTAAAGTATTTATTTATATTATTATTTTTAAATTATATCAATGACAACCGTCTAGAATCCTAGCAAAATCTGCTTAGAATATTCTGTTCCAGCTCTTCCTTTTTTTTTGTCTAGCTTAGTATGCAGAGACCTAAAATAATTTACATTGTATACAATTAATAAAATTTGTATTGATATGAAAAAACTATTTTAATTTACAATTCAGACGATTTTCCGCCATCGATAAACGCAACCAAGTCTTTACCCTTCTTAATATACTGAATGACCTCTCAATAGTACCTACTGGTTGTACATGGCCGAGATAACAAAATATTATGCAAGGTTTACTAAAAAAATATTTGTTTCTTTAACTATTGAGCTCATTTTCATGTCTGATCGTTTGCTTTTAGACAGTTTTTTCTCCTTCCAGATCTTGTACCATAATTTATTCTACTTCACTATCCAAGTCTTAAATTTGGTAGTACCTAATCAGAAAAATCATTTATTTTGAGTTTAAATTCTTTTATGTCCATATCTAACATATTTGAGGTTTGTAGTAAGAAAAGTGTAAAAGCTGGTAGGTTTTCATTAGAAAATCTCCTCTCCAATGAGGATATCAATGAATCCAAGCGCCTTGAAAAACAAAAAAAAAATTAAGGAAAAACGGGAATTTTTACGCAAAATCTATTTTCGAGAAAATCGATTTTGGTTTTTGGTGTAACTTTAAAACAACTGGCCGTAGATACATGAAATTTTCACTGGTTGTTTATATTTGCATTTTCTATACACGATAACATTTTCAAAATATTTTGATTTATTTACAATTTTTTTTTATAAGCATTTAAAGATCGAATTTTGACAAAATTTATCAAATTTAGAATTGAATGATTATTTTGTAGTTAAAAATTTATAAAATGTTCAACTTTTATATCTAAGGATGGAAAATTTAAAACAAGATTGAAGATTCCACGTAATTAGTTGATTCTGTTACCAAAAAATCTTAAAAATACATACTTATAGTTTATTTTTATAGTACCTAATTTTAAGTTAAAATTTGGATGAAATTACATATAAAAAACCTAGAATAACTATATTAGTTATTTCGTTGTGATTGTATAATATTATTCTTGGGTACTTGAAATTTCTAAAGTACACTATTATATATCTATGATAGTATCAGGGTTTGTTGTTAATGTATAACGCGTTGTAAGTACCTAATGGATATTGTGATATGATTAATTTTTGATTTATTATAGGTACCTATAATAGGTCTATTTTTTTTAATACCATCGATAAGTATATAATATGCCTTATACCTAGACTGACATACCGTCTCCGCTCAGAATCGTTTTTCTTATACAATGATATTATATCATTGAATTAAAATTTAATATCATCCATTATACAGTGACCTACTTGTAACCTACTGTACAGCCGAGCACCTTTTTTGATATAATTTGAGCGTTTCAGAAAATCCAGATTTGTCGATGCAGAGCATTCGTGACAGGCTCTAATAGTTTAGAGTATTTTGCTACGAGGATAACACTCATAAAAATAATTTTATTTGCTTAAGTAATCCTTATTGGCAAAGTGATTCCGACAATCGCTGTACACGTGTGGTATAAAGAATTAATATAATTCAATTTGAGGAGCAAGGGGGGGGGGGAATTATGGTTTTGTGATGTCGGGCAAGTCGTATTATTGGATATCGGCACCTATCACCTTAATTATTATCTTTCTTCAAATATACAAAAAAATTATTATTGTCCTTCTACTATAGCAAAGATATATTAAGTACACTGTAAGTACAACGATTTTATTTTCAGTTGAACTGCTGCCGAGTGTCGACTGATTTTGACCACTTTACTTCAAATTTACGTGAGTACAAAATTATTTGTTTTTATAATGAAGTAATTTTTTATATATACTTAAGTAATATAAATACAAATAGTTATTAAAGGTTATTAGTTATTACTTAGTATATACTATGTATTAAGTATTTATACATGTTTTATATTATATCTCAAATGTTTTTTTTTTTAAACTAATGCAAATTTCAAATTTGGGGGGGGGGCAAAAATGCAGGCATTCGGCAGTGGCATCACCAAACCTCAATACGGCCCTGATACGAGTATGCCAGAATTTAGTAATAACTACTTATTAGCGATAAAAATAAATATTTTTAAGCAATATATTCAGTTATTCACATAAAAAATAATTTTAGTTTATGAAATCTATAACTAATCTGTAACTATGTATATACATTTTGTTTAAACTTCAATTGAGTTATAATCAAGGCTGGGCAAGTTAACTATTTTTTTTAACTCGTTAAGTTAAATTAATATAGAAAAATGTAAGTATCTTAACTTAGTTAAAAACAAGTTACTTTTTTTTTTAAATAAAATTAATAATTATACCTACCTACCTTTTTTAAAGCTAACAAATAATATAATAATTCAATAAATCAATAAATGTCTTAACATTTTTAAATAAATGTTTGTAATAAAATTAGTTACTGTAGGTACTTATATTTTTATATTATACCTACTTTAATCAATGATGAAATCCAATAAAATAATAAAATAATTGTTATGTATTTGTTAACGTAAATGGTCCACAACTATACTAATTACTAGCTGATTATTATTATTATTGACTATACTAATTCCTTATTATTTATTAGAATATATAATATCAAATATTATTCAATTAATAGTAAGAATTTAGAAATACGTAAGTACGATGAACTACCACGCTACCGGCGGGCCAAGTTATCGCTGTAATTCTATGAATGGAAAAAATATAATAATAAGTAATAATATTAATAATGATCAGGTATCGGTGCCTCGGTTTTTATTTAAGCTTTAGGAATGAAGTTATTATATATTTTTATTCCATTTTATGTTACCTTGATGGCTTGATACTAGTTATATTGAAATATCCCCCTTCATTTTTAAACATAATGCATTTTGTTAAAACTTACCATTTCAACTTTACCGTTTCATTTAGTCACCATGAAAAACGATGAAATAAAAATAATAATACACAAAAATATCGTAACAGTTTTTACTCAATATCTAATGATATTATTATATCAAGTATCTAATTATTGATAATATCTGATAATATTGATATAGGGCGATAAACAATAACAGTTTGGTCCAAGGGCTACGTGGTGGTAGCTTGCCTATTACAATTGTCATTATCGTCGCTTATACCTTAAAAACGGCGCTTAGCCCCTACTTTTATAACAATTTCGTAAATAAACGTCGATTGTACCGAAAAATGAAATTAAAATATCTCATTACCAAATGGTCATAGGAATACTAGCGCTCTTGTAATCAAATTCTTTAACTGTCGCTTGTCCCGTAGGATCCACTATGTAGCTTAGCCCCTTTTGCCTTATACCAGTCGATATGTGATATGTGATATACTGATATGTGATAAAATATGACGTGTTTAGTTAATATGGGCCCAATAGTATATGTAATAACTAATAAGTAATAACCAACGCTATCTGTGTTTAATTCGATAATTTTGAAATAGACCGACTTTTAAGGGGTTTTAGGATAGGCAATAACG